TTCCCTTGTTTTTTCTCCTTGAGGAGCTTTTCCCGCAGCTCCTCAACCCCCAGTCTTAGCATTAGGTTCTTTTCTTCCTCCTGGATGGCTCCTTTTTTTTTTTCTTGGTTTTTCGAGACAGGGTTTCTCTATAGCTTTGGAGCCTATCCTGGCACTTGCTCAGGAGACCAGGCTGGCCTTGAACTCACATAGATCCGCCTGCCTCTGCCTCCCAAGTGCTGGGATTAAAGGTGTGTGCCACGGACGCCCAGCCTGGATGACTCATTTTTGGCCAAGACATACCCTACAGTCTTCCTGTTCTCATCAATATAAGAGAGCCAGTAACAAAGAGGAAAAGTCAGCCACAGCAGGCAACAGGCTAGAGCTCACTGCCATGCTTCCTGCTTGTGTAGGATGGTGGGAAGGTGTAAAAATTGGTGAGTTGTGAAAATTGGTGATCAGGAATGCAAAGGGACCAGATTCCCTACTCCACACTTTCCCCCCCTCTTGGAAGAGCACAGACACAGGTGGGAATTCCAACTGTCTAGCTTGCAGTCCTTACATGCACACATCAGCCATGCCCTTGCTGTACAAAGGCACTGTACACCTCACTGCCCACTGCTTTTAGCCCACTCAGATTCATGTTTCCCTCCTGTTGTCCCTTATGTGCTTACAAAATGCAAAACCTGATCACCTGGGGCCAAGAGAGGCCATGGTAGAAATAGTATTTCATCTGTTAGTTCTCCGGGAGGCATAGGAGGTTGCAGTGCTGCATGCTCATCAGGTCCTCGGGCTGCATGACAGAAGGACACAGTTAGTCCAAGAGTGCAGTGACTAAGAGGCCTCACGGTCCCATCCCTATTTACTGTAAATTTCTGGGCCTCCTGTTCTGTCGGGAAGGGCAGGATTGTGACCATACGACTTTGCACAAGCCTTTGGGAAGGTCTGTGTCTCCTAACACAAAGGTCCCTCGGAACAGAGAAAATCTTTGATGTGTAAATGAAGCAGGCATGTTCTGGCACAACCTTGGCAAGGGATCCAGGGGAAATGTACCCAGGACCTCTAGAGGTGGTACTAAAACAGGGAGCTTGTGTAGTCTGTAGGGGAGGGATAATAATGTGTCAGACACAAGCTGGATTTGTGCCCAAGTATGGGTAAAAGTTGAGCACTTTAGCTGGGGAGTTGGTCTTCTGGCAACTTCAGGGGAGGAGCTGCCACAGCCTCCAAGATTTCTGAACTGCACTTTTTGGTTTCTTTTCCATCTTGTAGATTCTCTGAAAGGGTGTGGTTTGGAGGGGTGGAATCTGACTTTCTGGATCATGCAGGGACAAGCTGGAGGTTCCAACCAAACATTCCTACTTTTTTAAGTGTGGGCAATAGTTCAAATCTGTCTGCTTCCTACCTAGAGGAAGGTAGGTTTCTAGGAGAAAGAAAAATAGATTACCACCACTGGTCCTATAAATGGTAAGCGTGAATACTACCAGAAAGAATGCAGCCTGGATGTTCTGGCAAAGTTCTTCAATTTGTGGAATGGCTCAATATTAGATTCAACCTGGACAGACTTGTTGATACAGTGGCAGCATTTTTTTCCCAGGATCATGCAGGTATCTGTAAGACAGCTGGAACAGATTTAAATTTAGGTGTCTTAGCAAAGGAAATAGCTTTAGATTAAAAGGCACAAACATTTTGAGGGAAAACATATAGTCCAGGAGACAAAAGAGTCAGAAGTGATGAGTAAGATAGGCTTAAACTTCCTGGCCCCTCACTGGGACATTCTGGGAAAATGGAGGCTCCCAGTGGCTGCATAGAACACTCACCCTGGGTTGGTGCCTAAAAGAGCCTGGATAGGTGGTACCAGAACTGATGTCCCAGCAGCTTGGCAGCTGAATGGGTGAGAAGATCACAGTAGAGGGTCCTGTCCACTGGGGCTCTAGAGTACCCGGCTCCCTGAAGAGTGTGGGGTGTGCTCAGGAGCCATTGGGTCCATTGATGTGGGGGCAGGGAGATAGCTGTTAGCCAATGAATGGTGAAGGGGCCATGGGAGGGAAAGGTAGTGTAAGAACCCCACCAGTGGAGGGGACTGGGATGGGAGCTGCTGGTTAAGGAGGAACAGCCCTCTAAAAGGGAGCTCAAAGAGCTTAGGCCTGCAAGAGACCATGAGACAGCCCCTAGGTGTGTAAGGACAATGGGGAGATGGGAGGGCCAAGACAACCTGAGTTCAGTAGAGAGCTTGGTGGGTTTTAGTCTGATGAGTCTGTTGGCCCTCTCAACAGTTCTGGATGATTGCGGGTGGCAGGAGATATAAAAGTTACATTTATATTTGTGGCATGAGCTCATAGTAGTGAAAGCTAGGCCATTATCTATTTGGATTGTCTGTGGCACACTGAACTTGGGGACAATGAGCTCAAGGAGTACGTGAGCCACCACATCTCCTGTTTCCATGGAGGTGGGGATGCCTACCCGTCCTGTAAAGGTGTCAACAAGAATTAGGAGATAGTGGATGTTTGAATGAGTGGGCATGTGGGTGAAGTCAACCTGCCAGTCCTTGCCCAATTGGTGTTTTTGGTGCTCATGCAAGGGCTGGCATCTCTGGATGGCTCCAGTGAGTTGGCTTTGGCACATGTCTAGCAGAAAGAGAACACCTGAAAAATATGGGCTCAAAGATGGATGGGCTCTAAGAAGTGAACAAAACCTTGGGGCCAATATGTAAGTTTTGGGGGATATCTGAAATGATGGGGAGTGCTGATTCTGGGGGAGGATGATGACACAGTTATTTAAGCAGAACCATCCATTCTTTATCTGTGTTGCCCCTTTATTCAGGAGCTCATCCTCTCCTGTGTTTGATAACAGGGATGATAGGGGGTGTCAAAAGCAAAGTATGTCCCGTATATCCAGTGGAGTTGGAGGCCAGTCCCTGGGCTACTGAGTCAGCCCTGGCATTGCCTAAGGGCACTGTCTTGGAGGACAGGTTTCCTCAGCAGTGAATTATGACTACTCCTGCAGGGAACTGGAGGGCTTCCAAGAGCTTGGCTGTAAGGGGTGCATTAACTATGGGTGTGCCCTTTGTAGCAAGTAAGCCCTTCCAAAGGACAGAATGGGTATGAGCTACTAAAAGTCATAGAGTGAGTGTAGACCATTGACCCTTAGCTATTTGGAGCACTCTAGTCAAGCCAATTAATTTAGCCCCCTCTTTTTTTTCACTTTACACAACACTTTTCTCCAGATTTATTTAAATTAGAAACAATCCTATTTTACATATCAATCCCAGTTCCCCTCTCCCATGTCCCCCACAAACCCCCATCCTATTCCTCTTCTGTTCCATAGAAAGGTTGAAGCCTTCCATGGGGATCTTCAGAGTCTGTCATATCCTTTGGAGCAGGTCTAGGCCCCCCTCTGTGTGACTAGGCTGAGAGAGTATCCCTCTATGGGAAATGGGCTCCCAAAGTCCATTCATGTGCTAGGTACTGTTCCATCACCAAAGGCCTCATAGATTAACCTGACCTCCTGACACCCACATTCATGGGGTCTGGATCAGTCCCATTCTGGTTTCCTAGATATCAGTCTGGGGTCCATATGCTCCCCCTTGTTCAAGTCAGCTGTTTCTGTGGGTTTCTCCAGCCTGGTCTTGACCCCTTTGTTCATCACTCCTCCCTCTCTGCAACTGGATTCCAGGAGTTCAGCTCAGTGCTTAGATGTGGGTCTCTCCTTCTGCTTCCATCAGCTATTGTGAAGATGTTGTCCCCACACCTGCAGGACCACCACATAAGCCACCTGGCAGTTATCTGATCTATAAGAGAGCTTCCATCAACTGGCTAAGAGACCAAGCCAGTATGAGTGTAAGGACTCCAAAGCCTCTGGACAGGCTTGGGAGGAGGTGTCACAGGAGAAAGGGACAGGGAGGAGGGTTTAGATCAGGGCTGGAGGCCAAGGTAACTTGGGGGGTTTCCAGAAACAGCAAATGAAAGACCTGGAGCCTTGAGGCTCAAGGAGGGAAAGAGAGGAACGGCTCAGCTCTGAGAGACAGTGAATAGCGTATACAATGACTGGCTGACAGTGTGATTTGGAGGACTTCCCAGCTGAGTTTGGCTGCTGTTGTTAGGGCTCCCAAATATGGCTGCCACCCACACCCAGGTAGGGTCTAGTTGTTAGGACAGGAAAGCAAAGGCCCAAATTGGAAGGCCCAACCAGTTGAGCTAGACCCCAGAGGCTACTCCCACCTTTTCATCTTAAAGAGGTGGATGGGGCAGATGATGTCTAGGAGAGCCAGGGAGGGGACTGTTAGGAGCAGTGGCAGCAGAAGGTGGCCAAGTGGGCGAGGGGCCCCGTGGGGGTCTCCCCGGCTGCCTGGTACAGGGGCTTGGCCATGATGGCAAAGATAATGATTCAGCAATTGAAGAATCCCATCAGTACCAAAAATGAGAGTCTGGTCCGCTGTGGCCGAGGGGCCCTAGGTCCCACGGTGCTTGGATTCAATCAGAAACGAGAATCATAGACTGCAGCCTGAGTTAAACATCCAAATACCCAATGGTGGGAGAACATAGGAGAGCCTCAGAGAAACACGGTAACACAAGAAGACAAGGTAATTTAGGAGCAAAGAGGTGGCTGGGACAGAGATAGGGAGGGATGCTATAATTGCCAGGTGTCTAAAGCGGGATATAGCCGCCCTAAGGTCCACAGTCCCAGACCTCTCTGTAGCATGCACATGTGGTGACTCAAGGAGCCCAAGGGGTGCAGACAGGCAGGCTTCCTGTCACCTCTCAGTAGCACTGGGGATGTTTGGGGCTGGCACCCGGATCCCACTGGGCGGTGGAGGAAGAGGTAGGCAGCTCAGACCCACCTGCAAAGGAAGTAAGAGGCTGGTGAGCTTGCCCAGAGCCAATGCACGCAGTGAAGTGACATCGAGATGGCGCCATCGAGGGCCTTTTGAAGGCCAGATGAAGCAGGCAGCACTGGGAATATCTGTTCCCTCCCACAGGCCCATGGAGGTAAAAAGCACACAGGCATGGGGAGCAGCATCAGGTTTATTTCGAGCCAGCAGGGGCGCTCCCACGGTGGAGCAGGTCTCCCAACATCTTCTCGCACATGGCCAGGCACCGCGGCACGTGGAAGCAGCCTGTGAGGAGAGTGGATGCCGGGGTTGGGAAGGCCCAGGGAGCCAGGTGCCACAGACCCCTGCAGTCTCTCCCCGTTCCTTCCGTGCTCACCTTTAAATGGGCCTCCCTTAAAGTTGAGGGCCACCTTGCCCTCTCGGTTCAGATAGCCGAACCATTCGCCGTTCTCGGGATCATGAAACTAGAAAAAGGAAACAGTGACAGCTAGTGTCTGGCAGGACCCACCCAAATGTCACCCGCTGAGGAAGGGGCGCAGGCTGTCCCCTCTGCACTGCCGCCAGTGGTCAGAGTTCAAATGGCATGATTTCATTAGTTTCAAGGGACCATGTCTTGGGAAAATGTGAAAGCTGAGGATGGTAGGCAGTTAGTTGGCTTTCTCAGCTTGTAACCCCCTGGGGAAGGGGCTGTAGGCGGTGTGTTGAAATGCTGAGAAAACAGGAGCTCCTTATCTGATTGTAGTGCTTAATACTTTGAATTGCCTACTTAAAAAGACTCATTTTTATATCATGTAAACTTAAAAATCAAAACAAAATAAAACAAACAAAAAACCCAAGAAACAAAGAATCCTAGAGATTGACCTACCAGCAAACTTTGCAAAAAGTGACTTCCCTGGAGTTCATGTCCTCTATTTCACAGGCCTCAAGCAGAGACAATAACTCCTGTCCTTGGATAGTGAAGATTTTGGGTTTTGTTTTTGCTTTTTGCATACTGGGGTTTTTACAACAGGGTCTCAGATTTTCCTCTAACCTTGTGTGATGAGGCATGCCTTTAGTCCCAGTCCTCGGGAGGTAGAGGATGACATGTTCCTGTAAGGTCCAGGCCAACCCGGTCTTCTGCCTGCCTTCACCATGGGTTCTGAAGGTGTGTCTCACTTATCCTGACCCTGTCCAGTGAGTGCATCTGACACTTCAGATGTGGGGGACAGCAGCTGAGTTGGCTGGGCAGACCCAATGTTCTCCCATCCCATACCTGTCTCACTGAGGGTTTGTTTACAGTAACCCCAAATGTAGCCCAGGTCCTTATTCTAGGACTTTCCCGTTCTGTTCTCACTGATAAAATAGTTATGCAGAACCCCTTCTTAGAAGGCATTCTTAGAAGTTCACTTTCAAAGTGCTTCCTTTAAACTGTGACACATGAGCTGTGGATTTCAAGTTGTGTAATGATTCATGCCTGTAATCCCAGTGATCAGGAGGCTGAGGCAAGAGGATTGCTGCAAGTTCAACACCAGTACAGACTCTGTCTTAGAAAGAGTGGTGGTGATGTATTCAAGGGAGGGATAAGTAGCTTTCTGTGTAATCTTTGTAACTTTTGAATAGCCCTTTCCTTATAACATATTTATTTTGAGAAGGAGTCTCTCTCTGCCTGTGTTCCTGACTGCCCTGGAACTTGCTATGCAGCTCAGGCTGGCCTGGAATTCAACTGAATCATCTTACCACTGCTTCTCTAGTGCTGAAGCTAAAAGAATAAACCTCATGTCTTTTTCTTTTTAATTTTTTAAACCTTGGTCATCCATCCGGGAACTCATGGAGTTCTGCCTGCCTCTGTTTCCCAAGCACAGGGATTAAAGGCATGAGCCGCCACCACCAGGCTCATGTCCTCATTTTTAATTAGTTTATCTGATTCATGATAGTGTGGGTAGGGAGCAAGGAGAAAAAAAAAAACTAAAAAATTCTGAGATTATTTTCTGTGGTTTGTTCCTTGGCCATCTGAATTTTGGCCTTCTCTGTTGTTACATCACTTAGTGACTATCTACCTGTTTTTTTGTTTTTGTTTTTGTTTTCTTTTGGGGGGGGTTCGTTAATTTGGAGTTTGTTTTGTTTTTGTTTGGTTTTGGTTTTCATTTTAGTGTTTCAAGACAGGGTTTCTCTGTGTAGCCCTGGCTATCCTGGAACTCACTCTGTAGACCAGATTGGCCTCAAACAGACCCATTTGGTTTGCCTCCCGTGTGCTGGGATTAAAGGCATGCACCATCACTGCACAGATTTACCTGTTGATTGTAACATCTGCAATTCATATTTTTTGTTCTCATTTTATAGAGTAACCCAGGAAGGCTTTGAACTCTCAGTCCTTCTTCCTTGGCCTCCCAAATGCTAAGACTACAAAGCTATACACAACAATCGGCTCTTGGAATTGTTTAATGTCACCTCCATTTTGTTCATATTCATTCTCACTTCATGTTGGTTAAGATTGGTGGCTTCTAATTCATTCCCTTAACGAATATATTCAGCAGTCAGGAAGGGATGCTCTCTAATGGCTCCTGTTGTTTGGAATTAGTGCTGAGTATCTCAGAGAGCTCTATCTGCCTGTTTAGATACTCTGTGATAGAAACAAGGCTTGGATTTTGTTGCCTCTAATCACAATAAAACCAGGCTGGATTTCAGTTAGAGTTAGTGCAAACCAGCCAGATATAACAGCACACACTGTCGTCTCACCACTCCAGAGTCAAGGTGGAGGTAGGAAGAGCACACGTATGAGTTTTGAGGCCAGCTTGGGTTATATGAGACATCTAAAACAATAACCACACACAAACTCTCCTTTTCTCCTAGAACCAAAGTCACAGGCCAAAGAATGGGAGTCCCTACTACAGTTGCAGGGTAATCACTAGAATAGTGACTAGTCTTAAAGAACACTGCCTACATTAAGTATATTGCCCTCTGGAGGCCCCTGGTTTGGTTTCTTTCCTGCTTCAAGACTGATACTGGTCTCCTTCACCAGCCCTTATACCCTCTTCTCTTTACCTTCTGTACTAAAAAACTTACCTTGCTCTTGGCTCTCCATAATAACTATTTTTCTTACTGTTATTTCTTTGTTTGAGACAAGATTTTCCTATGTATCTGGTTGGTCTCAGACATACTGTGAGGACCAGGCTGGTCTCTTCCTTGCTGTGATCCTCTAGTTTCGTCCACCCAAGGGCTGGGATTTCAGGTATGAACCACCATGCCCAGGTCATGTACATTTCTTAAGACAAGCAGACACTTGTAACAGGCCATATTTCTATCTCTGAACTACAGCCTCAGAAACTCATCTACTGAGACAAGAGTCAAAAAAGTGCCTTGCAAACTAGCCTGATGGTGGTGGTGATGAACACCTTTAATCCCAGCACTCCAGAGGCGGGGGCAGAGGCAGTTGGATCTCTGAGTTAAAAGCCAGCCTGGTCTACAGAGTGAATTTCCAGACAGCCCAGCCAGGGCTACCCAGAGAAACCCTATGTTGTAAAACAAAACAAACAAACAAAAAACCAAAACAACACCACCACCAAAACAAAATGCCTTGCAAACATGAGGACCTGAGTTTGTTCCCAGAACCCATCTGGAAGAAAAAAAAAAAAGACAAAAGCATGCTTGTAGTCTCATACCTGGAGAACAGAGATAGGATTCACCTGCTAGCCAACATAGCTAGTGAGTGACCCCATCTCAAAAAGCAGGTATACAATGCCTGAGGAACACTACCTAAAGTCATCCTCTGTATTACCTATACTCACTCTCTCTCTTTCTCTCTCTCTCTCTCTCTCTCTCTCTCACACACACACACACACACACACACACACACACACACTTGGCAGGGCATGTCCAGCTGCTGATTTATCAGTCTGAAATCCTAGCTGTTGGATTCAAAAATCAGGCTCAGGCTGCTGGACTTGGCAAATCAAGGATGTTCCTGCTACATGGAGCCCACCTGGCTGGACCCTCCTGGCTTCCCTTCTGTCAAATTGACATACCCTGGCCTCTGGGGCTTTGGATCATTGTTCAAAAGGTCTTCTCTGACCCATCTATAAGAAAGTTCTGTGACCCATCTATAAGAAAGTTCTGTATCATTGCATCTGCTCTGTTTCCACTGCTCATTGGTCTCTACATTTGCTTGTTTACTTGATTGGAGTCTGAACACCCAGAAAAGTGGATTCCTTGAGGCAGTGCTTCTTGGTTTACCAAACAGAAGGCAGTCTTGGAACTCTCAGAGCGGCTGTGGGCAACACTTGATGTAGGGCTAGGAGGGACTACTGGAACCCTCTTAACACAGACCGTTTCCCCTCCCCTGCTGTCTGCCATATCCTTCACACCCAACCTGGGCTTCCAGCGAATGAGGAGAAAATACTTACATGCTTGAAGGTGTACTCAGCCACCTGATTGAAGATTTGTAGCAAGGCTGGGTCACCACTGTCCCTGTAACCCATTAGGAAGGAAATCATGGCTTCATTGTGTGGCCACCACAGCTTCATGTCCCACTCCAGCTGAGAACAGAGCAGAGATAGGCAGCTGAGACACTTACTCTTATCCTCCATTCTGGCTCAGCCTGTCTGGCTCAGGACTTGGTTTTTAATCATGAGACATGAGGGAATGAGTTTGAATAGTGCGTAGGGCTAGCTTTCTGACATATTTGTGCCCCAAGGCAGCTCCTTTAAAGGACAAGTACTAGGAAAGATTCAGAATGTTGTCTGCCTTGTCACATCATCTTTAAGCCTCTTGGAAATTGCTGCTACCAATGGCTAGTGTAGTACCCTCTGCAGATGTCCAGCAGGATCAGGACACAACTGATCAGATGAGTCATTTCACTCCTGTCTGTCAGCAAGTGAAAGAGTGAGAATCACCCAAGAACCCTTTAAGCCACTGGCACCAGACAAAGGGGACCTGTGTCTTTGTATCAGCATTTGCACATAATCTCTTCTCTAATGGCTTTCACAGGATAAGCGCTGGAGAAGACTCAACTCTGAGTTCAAATTTTGTTGTTGTTAGCTGTGTTTTGAGACATGGTCTCTCTATGTTATCTTGGCTGTCCTGGAATTCACTATGTATAGCAAGCTGGCTTCGAGCTCACAGAGATCTTTCTGCCTCTGCCTCTGCCTCTATCCTCCAAGCACTGTGCTACCACACCTGGATATGAGTTCCCCTACTATATGCCAGACTTCCAGCCAGTTTCTCTGGGAGTTCCCACCTGGGTGGGGCAGAAACCATCAACATCCTGGAAGTAGAAGAGGCCCCCATGCTCAGCGTCCCATCCAGAGCGGAAAGGCAACAAGAGAAACTTGTCGATGATGTGTGCACGAAGTTTGGCGTCACCTTTCTTGCGGGCATACTGGAGCAGGAACCAGCCAGCCTCTATTGCGTGGCCTAGTGAGGGTTGAAAGAAAGGCAGGAGTCACAATTCCCATCCCAAGAATCTGAGGGCTTAAATTTCTGCAACCTCCCTTCCTTCTAAGATGTTAAAGGAGTGAAAGATGCTAGAACTCTGTCTCACGATGCCCTGTCCTTCTGTCTGAAATCGATTCCCTGCAAAAACAACAACAACAACAAAATGCCCCCCAAAAACACAGACACTTAGTCTCCTGGAGCCAATGTCTGGTCCTAGGCAGACAATCCCCTGCCTGTACCTGGTCCTTTGGGGGGGGGCAGGGGGGAAGGAAGGCAGCCAAATCCCATATGAGGCCACAAACTAGAGACTGAGTTCTATTTTCTGATGGGCCCAGCACATGTTTTCACCTGGGTTCTGATGTCTTCCAAGGCAACCAGTGAGTTCCTTGCCATCATGAGATACATTCTCTAGTATAGCTTTTCCATCCCTCTGCCAGGAAAGAGACAAAAGACAGATATTTCCAGTTCCTTGTCATCTAACCAGAAAGATCTAACTTCACACATCCCTCCCACTGGGCATGGTGGTGCATGCCATAAATCTCAGCACTGGGGAGGCAGAGGCAGGTGGATCTGCATGAGTTCAAGGCCAGCCTGGTCTACTGGGGAGTCAGAGGCAGGTGGATCTCCATGAGTTCAAGGCCAGCCTGGTCTACTGGGGAGTCAGAGGCAGGTGGATCTCCATGAGTTCAAGGCCAGCCTGGTCTACATACAGTTACAGGACTGCCTGGACTGTTACACAGAGCTCTTTCTTGAAAAACCAAAATCAGAAAAAAAAAATCTTTCCTCCACCCTTGCTTGGTACCAGTCATCCTCCTACTCAGTAGGCCCAAAGGGGCATTTTTAGTTGATGAGTGTTTTACAACAGTTTTGGGTATTCCTTGCTGCTCTCAAACTCACTAGACATGCAAGACTGACCTTGAACTCTAGATTTTCCTGCTGCTACCTCTGGAGTTAGGGAATTAGAGAAGAACATTTTTGGAATGGCTCACTGTCTCCCATGGTGAGGTAGGTTTTACTCCTTGCTTTAAGTCTGGGTCTCTCAAGCAGAGAGAGTAAAGTGCTGAACGAGGAGCCAAGATAGAGTTGGGTGCTCACAGAGCCTGGGGAAGAGTACTGGTCAAGGTCTCAGGATGTATCTGGGGCTCTAGCCTCTTCTTTCTGCCTTAGGACCCACCAGTCTTTGTCCCACATACCAGGAGACCTTCCTGAGAGCGCTGGGTTGTATTTCAAATGAATTTGCTTCCTTGGATCCACCCGGAGAACATATTTCAGGTAGAGGGGCCCTTGTAGAGTGGGAGACTGGGGTTCACCCCTGCCCTCTCTGCGCCCACCTGCACATGCTGAAGAATCCTCTGGGCACACCAGTCCCATAGCTCTGCATATTTCTTTGTCAGTGCCTCATCTTCCTCGGAAAGCTGGTCCACCAGATTCATCAGCATCATGGGCACTGCCATGGACTCTGCATCCGGGGTCCCTGAGAGCTGAGGCCGGCCTAGCCCAGCTGGGTCTTCCCGTACCCAGTGGACAATCTGGTCCATCATCTCCACAGCTTCATTCTGAGGGGGGATACCAAGCAGAGGCTGCATTCCTTGTCCCATTTGCCTTCCCGAGGAAGAACTCAGGACTCAGCGTGTTCTCCAAGGACACCTGCTCCTTCGGCAGCTCTACAGGGGCAGCCCTACAGCCAGGCACCAGATGCCAAGCAGATCAGCCAACACTGTTATAGGCCCCTGGGGTTCAGGTCACATTCAGACAGAAGGGCCTAGGAAGGGAGAGGACCACTTCTGCTTGGACACAGGGCACTGATAGATCTCTGCTTACCCAGGGTCCCTATGGTGGTCCTGGAATCGTCAGGGAGCTTAGAAGAGAAGGTGGTCCCAAAATGATAGGACAGGAGTGAAAGGAAGTTGTGGCAGGCTCCCAGGACGGTCTTCAGACTGTGCTCATACCTGTGGTCATTGCTCCCACAAACCTGGTAACGTGATTCCTTTGTTACTCTCCAAAGCTCATTCATAGCAATGGTGTAGAAACACTCGCTGAAAATGGTCCGCTGCACCTTCACTGGACGGCCGTCCCGAGTCAACACAAAGGCACACTTCTTGGCAGGCGGTGCCACCCGTGCAAAACGCAGCAAAAACTCACCACCTGGTGGTTGGGGAGTATGCATGGTAGGTGAGGGCTCGGAATATACTGTCTCTTGAAACATACACAGTTCCTTTCTTTTTCTTGACTCCTTGATATCCACTGAATACGTGATTCACTGAGGCTCCTGAGGAGCTGGGAGTAGGACAGGGTACCTGCTTTTGCAGCATCTAGAAGCTCAGCGCGGCGGAAGCGCTCAAAATTGCGGTACAAGCGACAATACATCCATACCTGTGAGGGAATATAGTTTAAAGAAAACAGCTGGGGTCCTGGGAATCCTAAGTGTCCCTGGGTATACCCAATGCTGCATGAGAGCCTTAAGTATGAAAACTGACCTGTCTCCCCTGCAGCCAGATATATTTAAGGTCATCATAGACCTGCCCATTGCGGGCAAGGCATGTGAAGAAACCCCTGTGAGACACGAATTGTTAGAAAAAGAGGGAAGCAGACTCACGCCCTTCTCCATAGCTTCATTACTCTCCTGAAGCCAAGTAGGTCTGTGAGGCCTCAGAGTGAAGTTGGGGTCTGGAAGGGGCAAAGGCCTGGGGGAAATCACTGAGGGGTAGCTGACCCGTGTTCCTGATCATGGGAGTGCTGCAGCCAGAAAGCGACCACGCTGTCAAGTTCCTTTGCCACACGATCCTTCCAGGCCTGCAGTGAAGCCCGCTCCTTCTCCATGTCCTGTAAAACGATTCAGGTCAGGGCACGGAGGCACAACTCTTCATAGGGCGTTCCTGTACCAGCTCAAGTGGGCCCAGAGATGCTTGTGGGCACCCCACCCCATAGGGCCTTGACCCCCTGACCACTGTGATCCCAGCGTTGCTTGGAACCCGTCAGATCAGCACCTCCCCTGACAATCTTCCAACTGAACTCTAACCCTGGGTCTTTGGTGTTCTCCTCCCAGTAGCCGTTGGTGATGTCACTCCAGCTACCCAGCAGTGCCTCACTCACCTTGTCCTCCTCAGGATTTCGAAAGGGTCCTGCTGCCTGCCTAGGTCCTTTTTCCGCTACCTCCTCCCTCACCAATCACCCTTGTTCTAGATCCCCCTGGTGGGAACTAGGTGAGGGCAGTTGTCCCATGAGGAGGGAGTAGGAAGGAGACCGGATCTGGGCCTGGCAGATGAGGTGGGTGTTCCCAACAGATGCGTGGGGTGGGGATGACCCCTGGAAATGCCTGAATCTTGAGACCCTATGACCCCATATAGTGGGCAAGTCTCTGCCAATTTGGCACTTTAGCTGTTTCGGCTGTCAGTATCCAGTAATTTACAACCATGGGCCCTGGTTGCCAGTTCCTGGATACTTCACCCCAAAGGATGCTTCTGGGAAAACAGGTGGTAGCCATGCCGAGCAGAGTGGGCATCCTCCACATCTTTGGACCTGCCTTCGAGCTACCCAGTATTGGCTGACTCTGACACAGGCTGGTTCATGCGTTCCCCCATTCTTGTTACCCACTGAGCAACCTCGTCGATCAGCTAATTATATGGAGGGAAAGTTGCAGTCAGAATGCCTGAGGTACTTTGGGGAACTTGAACATATTCTGAATCTTTTTATTTCCATTTTGTTTTACGTGTCTTGCTGTTTTTTGCCTCTAAGTATGTCTGCGCACCACATGCATGCAGTACCCTCACAGGCCAGAAGAGGGCATTGGGATCCTTTGGGCTGGAGTTAGAAATGGCTGTGAGTCTCCATGTGGGTGCTGGGAATTGAACCTGGGTCCTTTAGAAGAAAAGACGGTGTACTTAACTGCTGAGTCATCACTCCAGTTCCTTGAACATGTTCTTAAGGATGGACTGCAATCCAGGAGTGTAAAGTAACTAGACCGTCTCCTTCATCAATGTTGCTCTGGGAACCAGTTAGAAAAAGAATCCAGTCCCCGGGCACGGTGATGTTCTTGTGCCACCCCACCTCCCAGCTGTGTGCTGACCTTTGATTTCATAATGACTACTGCCTTGCTGGCTGTGGCTGCTGGCTAGCTTGGCAAGTTGGAGTGGCTCTTTCAGCCTGAAACACTTCACCTTTGTGGTGCTTGGAGTAAGCCTGGTCCAAGGTAGGTGCAGCGATTCTGGGCTCACATCTGCCCTCACCTTAGCTCATACCCAGGGGACCCTGCATCTGTATCGAGGAAGGCTTGTGTGACTTATTTAAACTGTATTCATCCATGTCCATACTCCCCGTCCTCCCTTGCACACAGGCCATCACTCTCAAGCTGAACCAAGGAGCGAAGGTGGCTCCCTGGCCCTGGATTTCATAAGAGAAAGACGAGGCAAGGTTGTGATGCCTCTTTCTGCCCTCAAGCCCAGTTTTCTAGTTTGTTTCTAACATGGTCTCATGTATCCCAGGCTAACCCTGAACTCTATTAGCTAAGATGGTCTCGAACTTCTGATCCTTCTGCTTCCACCTCTCAAGAACTGGGACTACAGGTGTGTTGCATCATACCCAGCTTCAAGCTCAGTATTTTGTTTGTTTTTGTTTTCCCAGACAAGATTTCACTGTGTAACCCTGCCTGTTCTGGAACTTACTCTATAGACAAGCCTGGCCTTGAACTCACAGAGATCTGCCTGCCTCTGTCTCCCCAGTGCTGGGATTAAAGATATGCACCATCACTGCCCACCTCAAGCTCAATATTTTAGGATCTGTGCCAAAGCACTTCTGCTTTAAAAAAAATAAAAACAAAATAAACAGGGATTTATTTTTAATCTGTGTGTGTGTGTGTGTGTGTGTGTGTGTTTGTGTTTGTGTGTG